ATGATCCTTCTAGAAACTCTTGACGTGTTACCAGCGTCTCGTGACTTCTGCTGTCCTAACAATATTGTCAGTTATGAAACAATAAATTCTTTGATTTTTTGGATAATAATACTTGCTTCAATTATGCAATACCAAAAACTCTTTCTTGCAAATATATAGTTGTACTGTTTTCTCTGAATTGTGAATTTACCAGTTTAATCACAAAGAAGAATTACATTTTATAGTGATCATATGAATTGAAAGCTTGTTTACAATGTATTTGGCAGGAATTGAAAAGTTGATAACAGAAGTCAGTAATGAATAGTAACTTTTAGGATGATGTTTTGTTTTCAAGTGTATATCAATACCCATGAAACAATAACATTTAAGGCTTTTTTTCGTTTGTAATAGAGGTTTAATACCTGTTGAATTGCCTAGAAAAAATATTTCTGGTTAATTTTTTTAGAACATTGGGAAAGGATCTCTTTGGTGCATTGATCCACAGTTTCGACCAAACCTTTTGCAAGCACTAAGAAAGTCTCTATCATCATCTTTCCCACATATGCCCAGATTAGATTGCATTTTGCATTTTTCTCAGTCAGATGTAGACATTGATTGGTAAGTACTTGCTCTCATGTATGTCGCACTATAGAATAAACAAGCTTGTACTGAAAAAACAAGTAGGTCATGCTACAGGTAAACATTCTGTCTGTAGTAAATTTTAAATATGATAATGATTTTTTAAATACCATTTAATCTTACTATAACTAGCATATGCACATTTAGAAATAACAAATAGATGGCAGTAGTTAGTTGGCTTAAAAACCTTTGCTCTTGTGCTTGTTTGAAAGAGTCAAGTATATAGAAAACCAGATATTCTGTATTTAAGCATGGAATTAGGTGTACAAATGTAACAAAAGTTATTAACTGAAGAAATTAAAAAATGCAGTCTATTATGAAATCTGATTATTATTATATGTAGAAAATTGGTTAAGTAGCCATAACAATTTGCAGTGGCTAGATACCTAGTAACCAAGAACGATCTTTCAAATAATAAATACCCAGCAGTCCAAAAATTTGAATATTGATGAGCTATAACAACAAACAAAAATAATAATAATGATGATGAGGATTAATAATAATAAACAATTATGATAATGATAATAATACTAATAATATTTTTTAAAATGTTTATATATATATATGTATATTATCATATTGGGAGCTTATTAATATTCATGATCGTAAAATTATGGACTGCCAGGTATCTAGTATTTCAAGGATTGTTCCTGGCTACTTGTAGCAAACACACATGGTGATCAACACTAAACAAGAATGATGATCAATGGTTATTTTTCCAGTGCAAAAGTCCTATTGAGATAATTTCATTGAGCTTGAAGCCAAATCCGTCTCATAATTTACTATAATTCATTCTCTAAGTCAAGTGAAAGGTGATTGTAGCTCATCAGTATTTAAATTTAGGGACTGTTGTGCATTTAGTATTTGAAAAATTATTCCTGGCTGCCGAGTATCTAGCCACTGGAATAATAATTTGCTTCCAAAAATCATTTTGATTTTTATTAGAGTTATAACAAGTAGCAGAAGAAGCTGAAATTAAGATAATTTCTTGTTTGATATTTTTGTTACTGTATTGGTTTTAAAAAATAGAGTGGACATATACTACCGTTTGCACAATATTTGTTGTTGTGAATATGTATTACCTTTAAATGTGTATAACTGTATGTACTTTGTTAGGAATAGGTTTATATTATTTAAAAAACTTTAGTACTGTACTCTGTAGGTTGTGGGACATATTGAATTTACAAATAACGTGTTGTGATAACTTGTGGTAACTTGCAGTATTTATTTCAGTGTTTGATGTTTATCATTTAGAGGGCTTTATCACTATGACTTTTTAACTTAGTATTTACTTACCAAGGCTAGATTTTATAATGTAAAAAAGTGATTTATCTTTAGCCTTGTGTAACTTAAGGTGTATGTTATTCATTATACAGGGTAAGATCTATGTCATTGTTACTTGTGTAACTTAGAATTTCCTTATCAGGTACATGAGTGTTTTATTTTGTTTAGGAAGCTATTTCACTATGACTTTGATAACTTGGTATTTACCTATCTGGAGCATGTGTTTATTATTTAAGAAGCTATGTCACAAGGACTTGTGGAACTGGATATTAACTTATTACTGACAAGAAGTTGTTATTTATAAAGCTATGTTGCAGTGATTTCTGTACTTTGATGTTTACCAGAGTCAAATATTTGTTCTTTAAGAAGTAAAATTACATTTATTTTATGTAATGTTCTGTAATTAATTTGGACATGGATTTATTTGTGCTTACGCTGAGTGCAGCCCTAATTTTTTAAAACATTTAATCCACAGTGACAAGCCACTACCATTACTCTCAACCAGGACATATATCAACCTACCCTCGTCAGGTAAAGTTTATTGACATTTAGTATCGTTATCAGTACAATTCATAAATCAACACAGAAGATGACAATGATGAGTTATAAGATTATTCTGAAGAAAGTAATCCTTATTAGTTTCAATTTTAACTCATTAGAATGAATTCTTAAAAATTCTGCTGATTGTCTATGCTAACAATGTTTTAAACACTCGCCATTTATAACTGGGAATGCAAAATAAACCTCTTGAAATTTCTCATACTGTACTTAGATAAAACTGTATTCAAAGTAATATTAAAGGCTTTAATAGAATTTCTGTAGTAATCCTTATACTCTTATTTACAGATCCTCATTTATAAATGTTTGGTTTATATTTGAAAGAACTCTTAGTTTGTATTGAAAGATTTGTTTCAGAATGTAATTGGTTTTTCCAAACTTTTGTTCATATTTTAATTGAATCCTGACATTATGTTAGCATTATATTATCCATGCAAATCCTTCTTTCTTTGCATCTTTTAGCTATGAAGGATTAACAATGGATGTTATCAAAGAGAGCTATAATATTCCTTTTTTATGACTCTGTTCTTAGTCATTCTCTCCTTCATTTATTTTGATATTTTGAACAGCATGAAATGAGATTATGGTTTAACAAGTACAAGTTTTCTTTTACATTAGCTGTTGAAATGTCACACCCATAATTACATGAGAAAACATTCATAAAACTGTGCAGACAATTGTAAATTTGATTTATTAATCCTTGTTTTCATGGAAATACTTTTTTCTTTCCTTCTAATTCATAATGACACATATAATATGTAAATAACACAAACACTTTTACCCATAAAATAAAACATTAACAATTGTTAGATACAGGAATATATTGAACAGACTATGGTGATGGGATAAGTTAAATGATTAGGAAGATTAAGGAGTGATGACAAACACAAATGAGAAGGAGAAAACCATGTTCACAAAATCAAACAATATTTACTCTAACTTACAGGTGTTTTATCAGTGCTGTGGTGGTTAAAAAAAAGATGGGTAAACTAACCTGTGGTGGTTATATTCCAGGCTATGCAGCAGCATGGTAGATACTAAGTAGGCAAATGCAGTTTACCCATTTTTATCCATGACTACACCTACTTTGAGCAGTAGATATTAAACCAATATGTGTAATAATTAAAGTGCACTAAAAAATTGCACATTTAATGTTCGTGTTATTGTGATAGTCTTGCAACAGAATGATAAAAATTATTTCTTTTCACTAAAAACTTTATGTTTTTATTTCCAGAGCTATTCCCATGTTCATCCAAAGGATTTAATGCTTCCACTGTGAAAGGTAAGTAGATTTATTTTATTTTTTTGCTTGGGTTATGTTTAAAAAGTTTGTTTCATTGATATGCCTCATACCACATTTAATCAGTTCTATAAGACATTCTCTAATACTTTGTTGTTTGAATTTTTTTTTTAGTTTAAACCTATAACTTAAATAAATTTTTATTCTGTCATTAAGAGTATGCAACTTCTATACAAACATTTACTATGAAACTGATAGATGGATTGATACTGCACTTTATTAAAAGTTTTTTAATTTTACACAATTAGTTTAAAAAATTTAAACCACAATAAAATAATTTTACCATTTTTAATATTATTTTAATCGTGCTCTTAAGAATGTACAGCAGTGCTCAATCTGTGTTATCACTTCAACTGTATTATTCAAAACTGTATATATATATATAGTGTATATTTTAATAAAGAAAACAGAGCAGTTAAATTTGAAATATGTTATTAGGATAATCATTACTCTGAGAATTATATTTAACTTGAAACGTAGCTTTAAAGGTATTATAGCTATTTTAATCATTTTTACTCCTTTAAGTTCATAAAATACAGTTTATTAATAAAGTTTATAAAGATTTTTCAATTAAATAAATTGATAAATTGTAACCAAATCTTTCTTATATCACACTTGAAAAGTCAGTAAGGTAACAAACCCAAAAAATATGTTCAGCCAGATTTAAGGATTGGAACCAGTTGGCAAGATCACCAGAGGAGCTTTTTCTTTCTTTACTTACTCTTTTATATCAGAACTTAGTTCAAGTAATTCACAATAGCATTTACAAATTGGCAAAAATGAACAACACAGGAGAAAAGCATTAAATATAAGTCTACAATATTAAAGTATTAAGGACATACTATGTGGTATATTAAGAAACTAATAGCTGTGATCATAAAACTAATGCTTTCAACATTCTCCATTAGTTCTTTCAGTAATTTTGGTTGTGGATAAAGAAACCATAATTCAGGCAAAAAGTTCATATGAATGAAACAAAAATATAGTACTGATTATCTACTGAACCATTTAGATGAACATTTGGTTTTCACTTAATCTTGTAGGTGTAGTTTTAAACAAGAGAACAAAAAAAAATTGATAACCTGGGCTTTTGTACTTCAATAAATTTTGTAGTTGTAAATTAGGACTTGATTGTTGATTACATAAAGTTGATTTTCTTGCTTTAAAACTACTAAACTAAGTACTGTCTTTTGGAATAATATTTTAACTCAAATTACATTATAAAGTTTGGCTTAAAATCAATAATCATTATTTATTGCTCTTTGTTTAATTGGTTGTAAATGGCCAAAGACCATAAATATTCTGACAAAACTGCTACAGCCAGACGTTCTTAGGAAAGAGTGAACATGTATGGAGCTTAAAAATTATTATGATGTGTTTTTTCTTTTGAAGATACTGTTATTTTACCTGGTACCAAATCATACTGCCTAGAATTTAACTTGTAAGTTTTTATGGTATGTACTTAAACTATGAAAAAATTACAATGCTGCTATAAATGAAAACCCTCAGAGGTTTTAAGAAATCACATTAATGTTTGAAACATTTGTAATTGAATAATTTATTATATGATCAAATTAACTTATTAAATGAAGCATCATTCTCTAAAGATATGTTGTAATATTATAATTTAAAGATTATTGTAGAATAATTATGTTACATTTGTAATGAATAAGTTTAATTTTTGTTTATTTTGTTTTTCGTGATAGATTTGCATATACTCTTGTACATCTTCAAATTAAAATTAACATATACCTCTGATCAAACAGTAATATTAACTTGTTCTTTATATTAGACCCTGAGGTGGATGCTGCAGCAACCATGTTAGCATTAAAAAATAGTCCATCTGAATGCAGCTTTGATAGTAAGTTTATCTGTTCAGAATCTGAGCAGTAAGTATACCTCCTCAGGGTATGGACAGTAAGTACATCTTTTAGAACTTGGATGTTAAGGACATCTGTACAATGTTTGAACAGTAAGTATACCTCTATAGAGTTTAGACAGTAGTTACATTTGTACAGAGTTTGGACAGAAAGTACATCTATATAGAGCATATTATGGAGCCAAATAATCATAGGTTATGTCAGGTAACTACACAATTACAGATCTGTAAGTGCAGTTGTGTACATCATGTTCATTAAGCTTGTTTGGAGCAAGTTTAGTAAGTATGTTAAGTAAAATGTTTGTTTTTCTTCTCATTCTATATTCCACTTAACACATTCACTGCTGAGGATGCACATTTATATTGTATAATGAGACACATGGAAGAGATATTATGTCTTGTTTTTACAAATAACGAAAACAAGCATATGTTTAAATATAATATATTACCAATCGTATGCTCATCATTCTGATATAATAATACAATCAATTTTAATGAAATTAAGTAAACTAATCCTGTAAGACTACTAAAAATAGAAAGTCTACATGGAAACAGGTATGTCAATAACATCAAGTGAAATGCAAAATGTTGAAATTTTTGTTTGAATTGATTTTTAAATACGTTAGTGTTAATGAATCACTTAATAGCTATTTTTGTTGTTTCTGATTATATGTTTTCATATATGTTCTGTTTACAGCTTATGGAGAAAAGTATAAAAACACAATTTCTTCAAGTGAATGGAAACTCGGACAAAAACGATTGAGATTTCGGTTAGAATGTCTTTTTGTCTTAAACAAATAAAATACTACTATGTTGTGTAATGATGAAAAGTTATTTTGATTTTAAAATTTTATATGGATCAGTTACTCTTTTTTTGTCTCATATCTTTAAGTTAATTTGTTAAAAGTATTAATCATCTTACTTTTTAAAATATAGTGTTTCACGTTATATTTATATTGGAGCATTATTTTTCTTAATACATTATTACTTATAATGAAAAGTCTTAGAAAATATAAAAGCACTAACTGACTTTGAACCATTTTGGCCGTAATGAATAAAAATCTTAAAGAAGTGCCTCTTTCATCATTGAACACATTTAATCTTTATGAATGTAATACTCTAACCATAGGAGCACATAAAGTGTACTCTATTTAGGAGGATTTTATATTTGGTTTATTTCATTGGATTTTTTCAATGTTTAGAGATTCTGCAAGTGGCCTACAAACCAAGTACCATTGTAGTGAACCTCTGCTAATTACCAGTAGTCCCAGTGAAGATCATACCTATAGTGACTCTCTTATAGCTGGTGGTAGCTGGTCTTCAGATATTTCACCAACAACTTTCAGATTTAATGCATCAGATGGTAAACATCAAAATTCTGACAATACTTTTCAAAACAATCACCAATCCAGTAGGGGGGCAGTGAGGCAGAAGGCAAAGGTCAACAGTGATTGTTCACTAAATAGCCCGTTGAAAAGTTTTGTTAGGAAACGCTTGAAGATTGGATCTACTGATACTGAGGATGAGCAAGTTCTTGCAGAAGGAGCATATGCTTTGCTAAATTTTGTGAGAATTGCTACAAGTAAAAGGTACATGTTCAAGCTAAATAGCAAGCTCGCTGAGAAAACTCTTTCTGATGCATAGATCTCACTAGGTCTTTATTTCTTTTTTCTTATAAGTAACTTAACTAATGCATTTCACTGATGCAAAGTGAATATATATATATATATATAAGTTGACATATTTTTGTGAGAAAAAACTATTTTTTAGTGGATGTGATATTAAAAAATTACAATGCAGTACTACATATAATATTTTCAAATGCTGGTACTTTCTTACTTTTTTGTGTGAATAGTGAAAAATATATAATAAAGCTTAAAATCAGTTATTAGTAAGGTTCTGGTGCTATCTGCTAGAAGGCCTATCTTTTTTTTTTAATCACAGATATGTATGTACCTTGTACGATCTTTTTAATGTTGCTGGTTCCCTTGATTAAGATATTATATTAAGCTCTTATATTAACTTTAAAGTGATATGTTAGGTTCCTCTTAAAAAGAAAAAAAAAGATGAAGAAATGTTGCATAATAGGAATGTAATACAAAAGCAATAATGTTATGGATATTTTATGTGATGTTAGCTTTTAGGATGAACCTTATCTCAATTCTGAAATCAGGTTCGTGTTGTAAACAGTTTGCTTTTGTCTGTAATTAATTGCCTTGATTATTGAAATTAAATTTTTTATTTACATTCAAATGAGATTTGAGAATGAAAATTACTGTTTTAAACTATGTTGCTCAAAGTTTATGGTGTGTTCTGTATTATTTCTGTTTTTGGCAGAAGCTGTGCATGTTGTATATAAACTTAGTCTCTTCCAGAAACTTCTATGTATGTATTTGTTTTCCATATATGTGAAATGTTTTTTTAATAAAAACTAATCTTCATTATGTACGCATTTTCAGAAATAACTAAATCCACTTGTGATGAACTTTATATATGTTTTTTTTTTCAAACAATCGTATTTTTAAGTTTGACTATTAACGAAAATGTATTTCAAGTAATATAAACTTTTTATTATACTTACTTCATCCATGTTAGTGAAAAATACTTATGTAAACAACAAGTGAAAGTCCCTGATCAAATCTTCCTACTTTATAGATTTCATTGAAATGTTCGTCAGTTGCTAGATCTCAAAATAAGTAATTTCAAGAGTCCTAGACAAAACTGTAGCAAATAATCTTATATTTGTTTGATTTTGTTTTGGATATACTATATGTAAAATATTTGTAAATTTTCAGTGGGAAAGATATACTTAAATAGCCAGTGTATGTGTATAATAATTAACTCAGAAGCATGTAAAAATGCATTATTGAAATTAATTGTTTTGTATTGCATTTACTGCTGCTGTTCATAATATCAATTTCTAGTTTTGAGGGCTCAGTTAATAGAACTAAACATGATAAATCCATGAAAAATCGTCTGCTTCAAGTTGTAAATGTTAAAGGTTTTTGTTAGATACTTTTCTATACTCAATCAAATTCACAGATAATAAACAAACAGTAAAATTTTATAATAACCTAAGTGGAAAAGAATCTGTTTAGTATCTATTATCACTGAGCAGTAATTAAAACATTTAAATCTTTATTCTTGTAGCTTTTCATAAGTGCCTTTAATCATGTTTGTATTAATCTTCATGTTGACATTAATCTTCATGTTTTCAAAACTCACATTCAATGTAAAACAGTTATTGAAATGACTAGTTTGCTGAGAGACATCTTTATTCTTTAGTTAATCGAATAATGTCTCATTTAGTTTGAAGATTTTTGTAATAAGATTGGAAGCATTATACTAACCAAAAGTATTAATGTTTTCTATCTATATAAAACTGTATGAAGTATATTAATCTTTTTTAAAGTTGATGTGAATTCAACCGAAATTGATACCAACTAGATTTATGTCTAATGATTAATTTGTTTGTTTGCATTTGTCTGTCTATTCATCTATAATGGTATTGTTTTAGTTGAGATAAATGTTTTGTGGAATATGTATACCAAAGTGGCAGCTCAGTTGTAAGATTTTACAAAAGTTATTTTGACATATGGAATCGTTTAGAAGGAGTGTGACCCAGCAGTTAGCATTTCATACTGTGGAGCTGAGGTTCTATGGTTCATGTCCTGTTTCTTCAAAAAAAATAAAAATCATGCTCCACATTTTGTGGGTGTGTTATAAACATGTCTGTCAAATCCCATTATTCAGTCTGACAAGAGTATCCCAAGAGTTAGGGCAGGGGGGTGACTAACTATGTTTCCTCTAGTCTATCATTTCCAAATCAGGGATGACTAGTGCAGGTAGCATTTGTATATGTGTATATAGCTTTGTGAAATCCAAAACTAATAAACAGACAGAAGAGGATTGTCATCCTGATTAGTTCAGAACCATTCCAAAGACCTAGTTTGATTCTCAATCATATAAAAAATGTTTTTTAAATCACAGATCCTCCTATACAGGTAAGACATGTTCTACCATGGCACATACTTTAATAATTTAATATGTTTACTTTGTGCTGAGTTGTAATTGATGAGTGAGGCTCTCTATTCCCTCAGAATGTTTATAAGGAACATATTGTACACTCATAAAAAGTAAATGTAACTCTTAACAACTGTGCCATTTTTAACAGCTGGACTAGTGAAGGGTAAGGCAAGCAGCATTCACATGGTGTTTTTCATGCTGTGCCAGATGTGAAAGAATTATTTAAAATATCTTTACCTAAAAGGTTGTAGTGAAAGCATTTGTACACAAGATGCACATGATATTACTGCACACAATGAACTAAAAACATCATGTTTCTTTTCACACCATAAAACAATAAAGAAGAACAGAAATATAAGGTTTCATAAAATAATATTTTGGCAGTAATTTGTCTTTATTTATACAGAACCATACAAATTAGCATAGGAAGAAAAATCACTTACTAATATGATAAGAATATGTTAAATGTAAAAACAAGGCACTTATAAAGAGCAACATTCTATTTAGTTTTCTTTTTGTATTGCAAATTAAGTTTTGCTTTGTTGATTTTTGGATACATTTGCTATTGCACCAAATATGAGAGTTTTGTTTTTGCTGTTAGATGTAAAATTTTTCTGTAGGTATCAGGAAATTGTATGAAAATGTTACTTTTCATTGCTAGCTAAAAAACTTAATGTACAAAAGACAATCCAAGAAGAAGTGTGTTTAGCAGTGTTTGTGAATTTTATTCAAATAACTTTTGTACATGCAGGTATTTAACATTAAGAGTTAGCTTGTCAGACACTTCAACAGTTTGTGATCTGTAAGAGAGAATATGTTTGGTTCAGTGCAACACTTATAAACTTTTTGTATAGATGTTTGCAAATAATCATGAACATAGAATAGTTATTTTTATATTCTTGAATGCATTTAAAAAAGAAAGTACTGTTACTTTTAAGCTTGACATAAGTGTTTAGTTGAAGTGTAGAATGAGCAAAAGAATAGATATTGTTTGTTTGACTGTTTTTCTCATGTAAGTTTAAAACTATGTTTGCATACAGATAAGACTACATTTTTCAAAGTGCATTCTAAGATTTATGAAAATTTTAAATTCAATAATTCAGTTCAATACTTTTTACAACATGTTCTTTAAATACTCATCCACTAAAATAGTTACATGTAACATATTTGTTATTAACAGCTCTGCAAAATATAAAATTAAAGGAGTCTTCCACAAAAAATTAATTACTGTGTAAGTTGTAATGGATGTAATATTATTTTGAACTCTCTGTTTGTATATAGACACACACACAAATGTAAATATATTGGTTTTTAAACATTTCTTGTCTGAGATTATATATTGTTTGCTTCCAAAGAACAACAATGCCAAACATCATTGTACAGTATTTGAGATTTGGTAGAGGAATACAGAACTGATGCTTGTTAGTGTTGTAATGTTTTTTAAGGCCCATGTGTACATGTTTAGGAAATTATTAATATAATTAAAAGGCTAATGGCTCATAATTGGTAGGAATAAAAAATTGCCAATCATATTTACTCATTTTTTATATTTTGATAATTTCTTTTAAGCATCATGTAATGCTTTATTGTTGCAGCAGTATACAGTATTATTTGCGATCGAACTTTCTATAAGATAGAGTTGTAAGAAAAATGTATTTTTACATAAAAAAAGTTTATATTTCTAAATTTCAGTTAAAATTGGTTAGGCATGTTGATTTTTAGAGTGAATAATTAACTTTAACAGTGTTGAAATTATCGAATTTTACTATGTTGGAACCATTTTCTATTTAAGCATTTCATTATGCCAGCAAATGTTGCTTTTGAAAAAAGTTATAAATAATTTAAATGATGTAAAGGTTGTAAAGTTCTAAGTTAAATATTTAATTTTATGAAAACTTCTGTCCTGTCTCACTATAGATAGTTTCAATATCTGGGTTTTATTAGACATCATAGTAAAAAAAAAAAAATTACCTGTCAGTGTTTTTAGGCTTCCTTGTAGATGAGTACATGAACTAACAACAAAAGTCTGTGGTATTAGGTAATTATCTGTTGTACATTTATATAACTGTCTTGGTATTTTGTTTATTAAAAATATTATTTTTTAACTGTGTTGATTGGAGTAACTCATATCTGTACTTTTTGTTAAGAGCTAATTTGAATATATATTAGGTGTTAAATTAGAATTATTTATTTTATTATTTCAGTCAGGTTCAACTAATTGTGATAAAACATTTATTTCACTTAAAGCTAGATGGTATACATTTTTAATAGTGGACTTTATAACATACATCTGTAAAGTACATATTTGTGATTTGTAAGAATGTAAACATTATTATGATTTGTAATTGACTTGAGTCTATGCACTGTATTCCACTTTGTGTTGTGATGCAATGATTATTACAATTATCATAATTACAGTTTCTTGTTTGAAGCCAAGATGATTAGCTTAACATTACTTAGAACTTTGTGATACCAGTTCATCAAAAGAAGCTAGCTACATATTTAGATATACTAAAAATGACTTTCTTGCTTAACTAAATTTACATGGTTTACAGTGTTAGTAATATAGAAAAATATATATAACATAAGGTTGATGTTTGGGTCTTACATGTTAATAGTTTCTTCCAGAAATGTAGAATATTGTACCTTCTTTATATTTGTAAACAATTATATAAACAATAAACTCTGGCATTCATTTTGGCTGGTTGTAATATATTTGTGTGAAATGTAGTTCTTTGAAAC